AAAATGCAGAAGAACCCGGTCACGGCACAGATCACAGATCATGTCTCTGGGCTCAGAGGAGATTTAGAAATGAAACAGAAAATGGAGTCTTACAATCTTGATTAACGTAGGGATAGAAACACAACCACTAGCTGGCAGATTACTCTTCGCTTGCTGGTAGAGGTGGGGTTCTATATAAAAATAAGGGTGGTTTGTGTTTTTAAAATAAAAATGAGTATTTGTAATGATAATGATAAAAGCTGTATTCCAAACTTGACAGAAGCGATTATTCACAACATTCTCTGGCAGCTGTTTTTGAAGTGTGCACAGACACGAGAGTGACCCTCTGTGCGTACCCTGAATAAACTCTGATGAACTGGAAGTCAGGACAAGAATCCAGCAAGAAACAGAGTTTTGAATCGGCGATTGTGGCTAATGGTCTGGGCTTCAACAGAGGGGGAGACTAGTAGATTTACATTCACACAGCACTGCAGGGATGATCCAGGCACAGAAAATGCTAGAATGTTGCTAAATAGCTGAGCTTGCTCTAAGAAACTTCCAGTTTTCATCATTACTCTGTAATTCTGTTAGCTTTTTTTTTTAACAGAAGTAACATTTGCTGTTTAAGATAATTAATACTGCCATTGATTATACAGAGCCATTTGTCAGTGCTCTTTTCTTTCTTTTCAGAAGTGGAAACGTTCCATGATAGAATGCCAAGACTAGACTTTGGCTCATGATCTAGGGTTCCAGTACACATTTAGTCTATGAAGCTTTATTTAATCAAAACAAGATGAAGCGCCTTTCCTTGCCTCTTCTGTACAGAGTGGCAGCGAGGGCCCAGGGAGCTCCCCCACGGCTTCCTGGGGATGGAGAGCCCGGCCGTGTTATGTGGATTGCAGTCACCCCCGGGGTAGTGTTACCACTTTGGCTGCCACATGATAACATCTGGCCCAACAGATGGTGTGGTAGAGATTGCTATTTAACCTAATAGCCTTTCTCCCCCATTCTATAATAAGAAGGAACCCCTGAATATTAATTTGATACATATTGCCCTAGAAGAAAGACCACCTACCTCTACCAGGCACCCTTCAAGTCAGGTGTGGCTACGTGGTTAAGACCTGGCCAGAGTCATGTGCCTGGAAGCGATGTGTACAGCCTCTTTTACAGGGGAGGGTCATGCTCTCTCCCTCCCCTTCCTCTCTTCTTGATGGCTGGGATATAGACACAGGTATGAACTAGTTTGGGCCGTGTGGACCAGGACAACACCCTAAGGATAGCAGAATGGGAAAACAGAAAAGCCTGGGTCTCAGGGGACTTTCTAGATGAGGGGCAGTGTAACAGATTGGACTTTTATACGAGAAACTGCTTGTTTAAATAACCACTAGGTCTCTATTACTTACAACCAGACCTATATTCCAGCCAGTATACAAAGTGAGAGAAAACATGAGCTCATGATGCCTTCTGAAGACACAAAACTCTAGATCAGGGTGTGCCTGAAGCAAGTTCCATTGCTGGATTTTTCCGTTACAATAGCTAACCCCCCCCAAAAATCTACTTGATTTTCTTAAGACCATCTAAGTTAAGGTGATATTACTTACAATTTAGAGTCCTGGCTCTTCCTTTCTTTAAAGCACAGACAGTTCTGTTTGGAAGAAATATTTTGCCTGACATTTACATTAAGTCCTGTTTAGCTCATTTCCCTAGAATTAACAAATAGTTTGCCCCCAAATAATATTTGATTGAGATATGGTGTTTCTCAGCAGCAATTTTAACTTTGGTGAGAACGTAAAAGGCTGACTGACTCCATTAGGTGACTCCCCAGACTAGGCTGTTTTAGGAGAAAATAGGTCTCCCATATAGATGGAATGTTATTACAACGATATCCATTCCCTGCTCTGTGCCTGGCTTGGACCATGCTGAATCCTCAAGGTTACACATGTAAGGAATAGAACTTTGATGAAACAGATCTGGGTGACAAATGGCTCAGAGTCAAGGAGGAGGTCCTTTTTCCTGTTTTGCAGAAAACCTATTGCCCCCATTGTACTCTGAGCCATAGCAGCTTCTGTGAATGCTATCTTTTGCTTTTTTTATTATAATTTTACAGTTGGATTCAAATAATATTGAATGCTGTTGTTGGTTTTAAAAATAACATTCTCTTACATTTCTACTGATGGTCACACTTTCTATAAGTGATTTTGCTTTCTAATACTTCCCTGCTTTATCATATTTGCTATAATGAATATCCTCTTAGAGTGATGAAAAGGGTCTTGAAGTTTCTAAGCAGATATGGGAAGGAGACATTGTCACATGTACTCTTACCTTAGGTCTGATCAGCAGAAGTGTCATATTATCCTTGACATGAAATTACAACAAATTTGCCTTTTTAAGAATGGGCCAAAGGGGGTGCCTCGGTGGCTCAGTCGTTTAAGCGGCTGCCTTCAGCTCAGATCATAATCCCATAGCCTTAAACAACTAAAAGCATGTTTGCCTGGGACCGAACGCCACGTCAGGCTCCCTGCTCGGCGGCAAGTCTCAAGTCGGCCTGCTTCTCCCTCTCCCTCTGCCCCTCCCACCCTGTGCTCTAATAAATAAAATCTGGAAGAAGAAGAAAAAAAGAATGGATCAAAAGCTTTCCCCAGATTCTCAAAATACCAGGTACAAAAAACTTTTAAAATCTCTGCTCAACTAAAAGCAATGAAAAGAGCTATTCTAATGTAATTTCTTTCTTTAATACAGATAAGCCAGTTGTGAAATTAATTTCTAGTTTATCCTTCTGGAAGCCCTAATGACACCCCTCGTTTGAACTTAGAAGAACCTGCAAAAATCTGGGTTACGCTTTTCAGACTACAGGAACAGATACAAAAGATAATTAAGGTCATTCTAAATCTTACAAAGAGTAGTCTTGCAAAGAGTGTTATATTGAGCATTTGCTAAAAGATGGGCTGATTAATTAGAAAACTGAGACAAAGGTGCTTTCCTGTCAAGAAAGAATTTTAATGCTGCTCATTGTGTCACTCGCTGCACAAGCAAGAGTTTTATACATTTAGCAGAGACACTGAATTAAAAAGCCAGGAAGTTTAGGTTCTAATACCAGTTTTATTTGCAACTAATCACATACAAATCACTTATCTATAAAATAATGATTAACATCGATTCTCTAATTCACAAATATATCACGAAACCAAAATTCTTCCCAAGAAAACTTCTTTGTAAACCAAGATATTACTGCTACTTAGCTTTTCCCTAACTCAAAGGTTGAGAATGACAAATTAGAGATATTTGTCATTTATCAGTCATTTGCATACCTTAATTCTGCAGATAGACAATCTGGTTCAGATCAGCCCTGTCCTATTTCAACCTTACAAAACCAAAGCTATCCACAAGAAGTTACTGGTGAAGAAAAAATTGGCCAAATACACTACTGAGACACAGCTTTGTGTTAAGTACAGTGCTTATAACAACCCTGCTGTTAAATAGAACAAAATGTAGCCTTAAACAACTAAAAGCATGTTTGCCCTTTTGAAGGAACACATACTGTTAGGACAAGCATCTTAGTTCACTAAAAATGTTAAAGAGGAATGTTTTGTAGTATCTTCAGATGGCCAATCAAAATGGCTGAGACAACTTTTTTTTTAACCTTTTGTGTCTCCCTCTCTCCGTTTTCATCCTATGGTATTTCATTAAAAAAATTCAGTTTCCCACCTGAGAACACAATCCTCTGTACTCAGCCAAGGTGTAAGAAATGTTAGCATTCTACCACTAGAGCATAAACATAGAAGAGGAATTAGCATGTTACTGAATGAAGATTTAGGAAGAAAATTCTAACTGGGTATAGGAAAAAATGTATACACCATAAGCATCAGGTCATTTTTCACGGGTACGCAGCGTGACAACCATAGCAAGTAAACGCTCAAGAGGTAAGCACTTGTATTTAGCAATGTCAGTTTTGTACGATGTAGTCTCTGTTTCTGAACTCTCCCTTACATAGTGTGACAGAAACAAAGACTGGAGCATGGTTCACAGAGAAACACAGAACAAATACAAATACCCTAATAAAATAACCATGTATACCACTGCTTAGGGAAATATTTTAGACGAAATATACTTTCACTACTGGCCCCAAATGCCATCATTCACTTATGTTATTTAACTGTAAACTTTTAATACAAAAATACCTTTAAGCTGATAATAACATTTAGTGACTTACAAAACTGACAATATTTCAATGCTACACAAAACAGTTCTATACACAACTTAAAGTTTTAAAGTTCTTTGCTGGCACTTGATTTTATAGTTGATAGACACAATATCTACTGATCTCAATAAAATACTGTTCTTAGCTTACACATATTTTCAAAACGAATATTATCTCATTAAACAGCAAAGAATAATCACATTTTGCTGACGAATCTAAGATGAACACCAAAACTGTACAGCCAAAGTATTTTAAGAATCACATAAACTTTTTAAGACAATGGATACAAATTTACACAATCGTGTCCAGTGAAAAAGAGGATGATTCCTCTGATTCTGTGAAGCATATATCAAGTATAGATCAAAAATGTGAACCTACAAAGCAAGTTACTTTAGTGTTTTTTTTTTTAAGGTTTTTCGATGACTGGTGACACTACTAGAACAGATGGAAAATTGGTCACTGTTTGCAAATACACATTTTACATTACAAATTTAAAACTGAAAATTTTTTTTAAACAGTAGAATCCTGTTTTTGTTTGTTTTCTTTTAGTGAGCTTACAGCCATTTTGTACATCATTACAAATGAAATCACCAGTCACATTAAACATATAGCATTTTTTTTTCTTCACAAAAGGGGAGGTAACTAAACTAAAACCTGGCAAACCATATTTAAATTAGAACACATTTTGTAATAACCCACTAGTTTAAAGTTTTGGAAACCTACTACCCTGTTCTGAAGGAAAAGATAGACTTTCAAAACCCTACCTGGTAATTCCTATCCAATCAGTTTTCTATTTTAAAAATCAAAATTCAAGTCACAGTACTTGTGGCACAAAACAGAATATAAGATTTAATAACAGAAGACTAAATTAGTGTAATCAAACAGAAACATACCCAACAATCAAATCAATACTGGACTTTTAGAACAGTAAATTATTAAATAGGTTGATTTCTTTGAGTGTATAAATTCCCTAACATTAAATTATGTTAGTATTTCAAACAATACCCTTTCTAAACCAAACCTGAAATTATATCAACCTGTTGTTTCTCTTCCCCCCCAGCGAAGAGAAAGGGTATCTCTTTAAGACACTTTCCAAAGCAGTAAAAACACCTTAGTGTTTCAACCTATCTACAACAAATTCTGCTGATCCTGTGCATTTCACTGAGGTGCTACCTGAACCCACAAATCATCATCAGATAAAGAACTTGAACTTCCTGACTCAGAGTCCAGCTCACTGAATCCACCTAAATCCCATTCGGTGCTGGATTCACTCGGCACATCTTCTTCCTCAGTGAGGAAACTGTGACCAGGTTCAAGGCAGGAAGGATAAACACGAGCTGAGAGGCAAAAGAAGTTAGAATCAAACTGGAAGAGGCCTAAGGTGGTACCTATGTTAATCCACTGGTCTCCCCTAGTGTCATACTCATACACCGTCACCCGGTTCTTCTTCCACTGCGGGGTGCGCGAGGTGATCAGCAACAGTTTTTGGCCGTGATTGATAATGCGGTAGTTGTTGGTCTCCGACACCAACGGGATATTATTAATCTGCCTCCATTCTCCTCTGACTGGATTGTAGACCTTCATGACTGGGATGTCGCAGATGCAGTAGATCTCATCATTGAAGACACAGGCTTCCTGAAAGTCATTGCGCTTGAGAGAAACACACTTGAGCCACATGTTGTGGCTCGGATCATAGCAGAACATGCGCTTACTGTTGAGGGCATAAAGATAGTTCTGAATTACCATCAGATCGAAGGATATGAAGGAATGGGGTAGCGGGGCCACCAGTGCCCACTGGTTTCTCTGGACACTGTAGCATTCCACCTCCTTCAGTTTCACGCCGGTAATCGGGTCTCGCCCACCCAAAATGTAGATGTAGCCATTGAGGTAGGCCACGTCCATGCCCTCCCGACACAGCAGGCGGTCGGCAAGCTGCTGCCAGCTGTTCTGGGCTGGCTTGTACACCCACAGGTCCTTCCTGGGCTGAGCGGCCAGGTAGATGTCGTGGTCTGGGGAGACACAGACAGCTAAGGTGGTGACAGTCCTCGTGTGAGCCAGGCAGGTCAGAGGTGACGGCACTTTGTAAATATCGCCGGTGTACGGGTCACAGCACAGGAAGGGATCTCTGGGATGGCCAAAGAAGATCACCATCTTCTTAGCACACACGCCCAGCCGCTGGGGGGGATTCTCTGCTGTGGGCACCACAGAGGCACTGCTGCTGCTGCCGCCGCCGCTGCTGGTGCTGCAGGTGCTGCTGGTGCCGCCGCTGCCGCTGCTGGTCTCTGGCTTCGGCACCAGGGACTTGCACAACTTGTCACCATAGCGCATCTGCAGGGCCCCTTCAATAAGTTCCAGACAGTACTTCTTCACGATGGTGTTGGTCAGCAGCCCTTCCAGGTAATCCTTATTTTCATCGGTGAAGTGCGTCCAGCGGACACACTTGAACACTTCCGCAGCGCTGGGGCCCCGCTCCTTGGGAGCCGCCTCCAACCACTGCACCGCCACATGACACACGGTCTGCTCCAGCTCTATGTTGAGACTATCCAGGCGCAGGATGGACAGCAACTGGGCGAGGGTCAGATCTGCCAGAGTCTCTTCCCGAATCGAGCCCATCTGGCTGAGCTGCTTAAAATTGTGGGCTATAAAGGACTGGGCCTGCGATCGCAGCTTGCGGTGGCCAAAGGCGTCGGCGAACTTGAAGATGGCGGTGCAGTTGGCCAGGTCAAGGCGGCGGGCTAGGAAGGAGGCGCAGGCTTCCCGTACGTACTCGAGCTGTAACATGTCAGAGGCCGCGTAAAGGCGCTCCACGTTGGCTTCACTCAAGGACACTCGACCGGTGTAGCAGTAGTCGACCAGCACCTCAAAGGACTCGGCATCCACATCATGCATGGTCACATTCGCCTGGTGGCTCTCGTACATGCCACCGGTGAACATGCTCTTGAAGTAGGGACATGCGGCAGCCAACACGTTCCGGTTGCAGGGGAAGAGGCGGCCGGTGCCAGGGCCGCTACCAGGCGTCACCACCTCGATGGTCACATCACATAACAGCCGCGCGTCGTAGAAGGACTTCAGCTGTGCCAGGAGGGCTGCAGAATGAGCCGTGTCCTTCAGCTCCTCCGGGCCCGTGAAAAAAGCTGAAACCGTGGGCTTGTGGATTCTCTTGGGTCGCTTGCCGCCGCGGGGACTGGCCAGGCGGCGAGAGCGCGGAGCTTCTTCCCGGGACTGCATGGTGGAGATGGCGGCGGGGTACGAGGGCGAGAATGGGTGCAAGGACCGGGCTCTGGCTCCTCCTCGCCCTCTTCTCGCTGGCGCTAGATCGCGGTGTCTCCGGAGAGACTGCAGCACGGGTCCATTTACCTAATTCAGCCCTATGCCGCAGTGCCGCCTCCCTTTATCACGTAGCCAGTGCCTGACTCACCCTCTTCCAGTTCCGCGCCCTTTCTCCACCTCAGCTCGCCTTACAGAACCCGCTGGACGGAACCGAGAGAGCCGCCACTGCCGCGCTGGCAATACCGGTAGGCGTCCAAGAGAACTACGGCTCCCAGGCTGCCTTTCGCGCCTCGAGGCATGCCGGGGCCCTCCAGACTCAAGGGGATAGGCGGATGGACAGAAGCCGCTATGCATGTTGGGAGTAGTAGTTTCTAGAATATCGCGAGATTTATCGGCCGTTCATTGTTTCAGCTGACGGAATTAGAAATCGCTAATTTTCTTTCGTTCGGATTTATGGTTTAGAACTTTGGATTTGGAATCCAGATTGGCCGCCCGTTCTGTGTTTATCGACTGTTTGGCTTCGCTCTCAGAATGGTTTTCAGAAACGCGAATAACGATAATATGTCACAGCGGTGTGTGACGACGACACGAATTGCGTAGGTTAAAAAGGATGCTCTGAATAAATATTTGCGGATTAGATTAATAAAGTACTTACGCAGTACCTGTAATGTAAAGGTTGGATAAATTCTAGCTTTTCTTCTACCATTTATGAAAAATCAAGCACCCACTCTTAAGCTTATGAGCCTATAGGAAAAAATTCAAAGCCCTGCAGGTTTCTGCAGAGATTCCACCCCTTCCTCGCCCCCGCCTTTTTGTAATAGATTTTTTTTCTTTTTTATAATATTAGTTTCAGATGTACAATATAATGATACAGTAATTCTATATATTGCCCAGTGTTCATTACCTGTACTCTTAATCCCCTATACCTCTTTCGCCCATCTCTCCCATCCTCCTCCCCTGGCAACCACCAGTTTGTACTCTATATTTAAAAATGTTTGTTGTTGTTTGTCTCTTTTCTTTATTTGTTAATAATTGGTTTTATTTTTAAGATCAAGTTTTAGGTGCTCCAAATTATAGGGAGCCTACATATACTCCATCTTCTAATAGTTTCTCCTATTACTAACACCTTGCGTTAGTGTTTGTGCTTGCTACAAGTGATGAACTTCTTCTGATACCTTATTATGAATTAAGGTGGATCGTTGATACTAGATTTCACTCTTTGTGTTGTCCAGTTCTGTGGGTACTGAAAAAGGTAGAATGTCAGTATCCACCATTACAATAACATAGAGAATAGTTTGCTCTGAAAATGCTGTGTTCAGTCTATTTATGCCTCCTTCTCCCTGCCTTCCAACCCCCAGAAACCACTGATTTTCTTGCTGTCTAGGTAGTTTTAACTTTTCCAAAATGTCATATAGTTGGAATCGTACAATGTGTAGCCTTTTAAAATATCTTCTTTCACTTAGCAATTTTCATTTCAGGTTCCTCCATGTCTTTTCGTTGTTAAAAGCTCATTTCTTTTATCATTGAATACTATTCCATTGTATGGATTTACCAGTTTACTTATCCATCATCTACTCTATGACATTTCATTTGCTTTGAATTTTTGCAATTGTGAATAAAGCTGCTATAAACACTCTTGTGCTGGTTTTTGTGTGCACATAAGTTTTCAACTCATTTCAGTAAATACCAAGGAGAGCGATTGCTAGGTCCTAGGGTTAAGATCATGTTTAGCTTTGTAAGGAATTGCCAAAATATTTTCCAAAGTGGTGGCTATACAGTTTCTGCATTCCCACCAGCAATTAATGCACATTCCTGTTGTTCCACATTCTTCCTAGCATTTGGTGTTGTCAGTGTTTTGAATTTTTGACCTTACAGATTTTAAACTTGCCTCTGGAAAAATTCTGAAGTATATGATAGTATTTTAAACATTCAGCAGTATCGGCAGGGCTGTTAAATTTCAATCTCAAAGAGCAGTATATATGGATTATGTCAAATTATGTAAATCAGGAATATAAATAGATGCTTTGGTGGTCTCACAAAGTCATTATTTCATGTTCAGAAAGCAGTGCAGAAGTATTTCCATTAACCCCTTAATGTAAATGCTTATAACTCGTCCAATATACCTCCTTACACTCCCACCCCCAAATCAATAGAAGCATATGGAATTCTAGTTATTGAGGATAATTTTAAATAAAAATATTTCAACAAAGAGACTTGTTCTACCCAGGATCCTTAGAGCTCAGCATCATACATACTCAAACATCCCTTGAATTAATCTAGTCTATGCTTTATCAAAAATGTTATATATTTGTATTTATCAACATTGTTTCAGTATACAACCCTCAAATTGTGCTCACTTTTTAACTTCTTCATATATGCCCTTAACAGCATTATTTGCTTTCAGTTGCATTTCACAAAATGCTAAGTATTAGACACTGTGCTCTCAGGCCTACAGTAGCATTGTTCAAATAGAATTTTCTGTGATGATGAAAATGTTCTGTATCTACAAGCCAAAGAGAGAAGCCTAGAACAGATCCTTCCCTCACAGCCTTCAGAGGGAACTAACCCTGCTGACATCTTGATCTTGGACTTAGAAAGTAGGAGATGATAAATTTCTTTTGTTTAAGCCACCCAGTCTCAGCTACATAACAAAGTACCACGTCATCCCTAGAAAACTAACACAAACATCTTTTATTTTCCCACTAACCTCCTTTGGAGTGCATAAACCATACCTGCAGTGGGACTAGATAATCTACCACATTACTTGCCTTTGTCTACATCTTCTCCACCTCACTAACACCTCTCACTATACAGCATGGCTTAGTGCTTTGTTGCACTGGCCCACTCACCTTTCTGGGAATAGATTTACTTCCCAGTAGGAATATCAGAACATTTTGCGCCCCCCCCCCAAATGCCTCACCCTTGAAGCCCCTGACTCTGTTCCTATGTACCTTTGCATTTTTATGACTCATGGATCACCAGATTTTTTTTTCTCCTATAAAAACCCCCAAATATTTAAGTACAAACTGTTAACTATAATACCTGACTCCATTTGGGCGGCTCACTCATCCGACATAGGCCAAGTCTGGGAGGCCAAACCTCTGGAAGCAGAAATACATCCTTTCATGCCACTCCTAAGATTACCAGGACATACTTAAAACTAGAAACTCTCCAAAATTTTCACCCTATGATTCAAGGCTTTGTTGACACATCTTGTAATAATCCAATCCCCTCAGTAAAGAATCCTAATGGTAAGGGATACTGACTAGTTTAACACTTGTGAGCAATAAACTAGCTAAACCCAGGTTCCTCTAGTTCCTAACCCCTAACCTGCCTTCTGGCCTATATGCAATCCAACACTACTCGCTTCACAGTTATCAACTTATGTTCTGCTTTTTTCCCTCTCCCCACTATACCCCTTCACCCGGATTCAAATATCTTTTTGGCCATCACATGGAAAAAAAATCAAAAATACACATGGACTGCCATGCCTCGGGGGTTTCTTGAAGCCAGTAATTATTTCTCTAGGACTCTCTGCAAACCTGAGAAATTTAACCTTTCCCTGTAATTCTCTCCTTATCCATCATGCAGATGACTGTCTTCTCTGCTCACCTGATTTTAACAACCTGTTTATTACAAGCTTTTGTCCACAACAGACCATAAGGTTTCTAAAAACACAATGCAATTTTTCAGCCCCCTCAAGAGCATTAGCTAGGACACGCTGCCTCCCGTGAAGGGACGACTCTGTTCCCTCAATTTATTAACACCATCATTAATTCCCCTTTCCCTGAGACCAAAAGGCAACTCTGAGGATTTCTGGGATTAGTTGGCTAATCGCTAGGAATAGACCCCTAGCTTTTTCGCTTTTGCCTCTCCCTTGCATGCCATGACTAAGAAAACAACACCATTCTCCCTAATTGGGACTCTCCTTCCACGTCTGTATTTCAAAACCTGAAAACCTCCCTATCTGTTTCTCCCACTTTTAGACTCTCCCATTGCTCATTACCCTATTCCCTTCTTTTACAACAAAAGAAGGACATTCATATCCTTGTTTTCAGGATGGTGAGAAGCTTTTCTTTGCAAACAGGCTACTGCCACAACTGTAGCTAAGCTGCTACCAGAAAGAATTTTCCCCACTCTGGAATCCCTTTGTTCCTCTCTAGTGATAGAGAAATTCACTTCAATGGTAAGGTTATTCAGGATATTGGACAAGAACCCACACTGCTACAAAAATTTCACTATTCTCTACCTCCCTCAATCCTCTGGGAAAAACAAAACAAAGCAAAACAAATACAGTGATACTCCTAAATTCAAACAAATTTGTTTTTTTATTAATTCATTTGTTTGAAGGCGCCATTAATTTGACCAATCCAACACCTATCCTTAAATACTGCTAAAGTCTTATTAAATACACTCTTTTATCATCAACAGGTCAGGTTTCCTTTCTCACCACAGTCCTTACATGATCTGCAAATTAGAGATTTCATCTTCTGCAAAGACACCACCAAAAGCCCAATCTTGATTCCAAGTGGAAGGGATCTTGGCGTGTAAGACACGGTGTCTTACACGCCAATACTGTGACAAAACTACAAGGGGTGTAACACGTCCTTTGTATCTCACAATTAAAAAATGCAAAACAAGTCTGGTTTCACATATAAGGAGCTTGGAATTCACCACTCTGCCTAAGGAGCTTGGAATTCACCACTCTGCCTAACAACAAGTAAAAAGCTTAACAGGCTGAAAATCAACACCTCTTCTTGGATTCATAAGCGAAAGGAAAACATAGGGCAAAGAGCTGCTCACGACTGAAGGGACAGGCCAATACAGGGAGTCGTGGCTTACCGGAGCAGACACCCAGGAGCTGAAACTACAGCCGGAACCAGTGCCAAGGTGGACAAACCTGAAATATGATTGAGGAATTGCTGAGGGTTCAGTGTGGGTAACTCTAGAGTCAACAACTCCAGAGGACCCAGTCATGGGTGGGGGTTGGGCAGTGGGCACAATATTGTGAGATTTACCTCCAGGACCTTGACTAATCTTCACAGCAAACAGAGAGAAAAAGCCCCTCGTACTTCTGAAGGGAGAGAGGAAAGGCAACCATTTTTAAACACATCAGAGCCTTCTGTTCTTAACAAGGATCGTTTTCAGGAGAAACTAGTTAGTCAGAGCCTCACCTGCTGGGGTCTTATCAGAGCCTCACTGACCTAAATGAAGAGAAATACCCAACGCCTGCCCACTCTATCCAAATCCTGTCTG